TAATGGTGTGTGTACTTTGAAGTTTAGCTGTATAATGGTGTATGTACTTTGAAGTTTAGCTGTATAATGGTGTGTGTACTTGTCAACTCTGGCGACAATACGCCTTTTTTTTTCTTTCTCTCAAACTAAAGTAAAACTGATCAAACCTATTAAAAAGTCGCCACTACGTTAATGTATTCCGAACTACAGACCTCTTCCTTGTCACTTTCAGTGTATCAAATAAAACAAAAAAGAAACTGCTAAAGGCTTGATAGTGGTGTAATTATTTTTATTATTATTCTCTCAGCTAAAATTTGACCGACAATAAGACAGAAGTTAATTAATCTATCTTGATATGAAGGATTTCGATATTAGCGTGCCGTATCAAATGTCCTCATCTGTATTGTCCGTATACCTGGGTCACGTGGACTGTATAATATTCTTTATCGCTAATTGGAATTCAGATACATAAATGACGTCACCAATTTATTCATATTAACTTCCAATCCGAAGAAGCTACCTTCTTAGAGTAAAACTAAAAATCAACGTGATAATGATTATAGCTGGTTATAATTCTACTTTTCTTTCTTACTTACATATAAAGATTAGAATGGATTGTTCCATCAGTCAACTATATTTATTAAACTTTCACTGATGCTTTAGGGATATTAAATTTGACGATCGCTGAAAACCCAAATAAAATACTCAAATAAGATTTGCAAAATGAAATACTCAAATAAGCTTCGCAAAATAAAATACTCAAATAAGCTTCGCAAAGTAAAATACTCAAATAAGCTTCGCAAAGTAAAATACTCAAATAAGCTTTGCAAAGTAAAATACTCAAATAAGCTTTGCAAAGTAAAATACTCAAATAAGCTTTGCAAAGTAAAATATTCAAATAAGTTTCGCAAAATAAAATACTTAAATAAGCTTTGCAAAGCAAAATACTCAAATAAGCTTTGCAAAGTAAAATACTCAAATAAGCTTCGCAAAATAAAATACTCAAATAAGCTTCGCAAAATAAAATACTTAAATAAGCTTTGCAAAGTAAAATACTCAAATAAGCTTTGCAAAGTAAATACTCAAATAAGCTTTGCAAAGTAAAATACTCAAATAAGCTTCGCAAAGTAAAATGCTCAAATAAGCTTCGCAAAGTAAAATGCTCAAATAAGCTTCGCTG